TAGGGTTATTATCTGCCCTACAAATAATCACAGTGATTAGTTATCACATTTTATTGGATGCCATCTTTTAGCCTCCAATAGACATATTGCAGCCAGTGCCATGTTTTAGGATTTGATACAGCAGGCCATAAGTCACCAACTCCTAAGATCTCATGATTATCTAGCGGTGGGAGTGGGAGGGCAGCTCTGAATTCTCCCGATTCATGTGTCCCTGCTTTTTCTCTGGCACCCATCTGTCAAATTGTGGCTTCACAGATGATTTCCACTACTCCTCCCAAATTCCATCTTTTTTGGGGGGGCACAAGGGATTTAACTCAGGGGTACTTGACCACTGAGCCACATATCAGCCCTATTTTTAGCTTTTGCTGAGGCTGGCTTTGAACTCACGATCCGATCCTTGTGCCTCTGCCTCCCAAGCAGCCAAATTCCATATTTATATAACTTTGTAATCTTAAAAGCTTTTCAAGGAAGTTGTTACTTTTTGATAATGTCACTAAATATTTCAGAATACTTGCCTTTCTGCCTTTTGTGTTTCAAACAATAAGGCTTTTAGAAGGAACAAACATTTTTACGTGTAGTTGATCTGCCTTTTTTTACCATGTACTATTCTAGTCCTCTGTTTAGAACATAAAAATCATTTCCACAGCAACTAATTATACTGTAAGTCACAAATGCAGAATTACTACTGCTGGTAGGAAATTAGAGGCAACCACAATACAAATATTAAAAGCTCTTATTTCTGAAGGTCTCCCAAACACTAATAAGAGCTAATAAAATGCAGGGAAGACATACAAAATATCCAGTGTAGACATGAGCTCTTCAAGCTGTCTTTGTGCATGATCAGCCTGATATGAATCTGAATACAATTCTTTTCTACCATGTGTATTATGCCTTTGTCAAAAAACAGTTGAGCATATTTGGTGAGTCTATTGCTGACTCTTCTTTTCTGTTCCATTGATCTATGTGTCTATCTCTCTGCTGCACATTAAGTCTATCAGGAAGTGATTCCTCCCAGCTCATTTTTCGTCAAGATTGTTTTAGCTTTTCTAAGGTCTGTGCCTTTTCATACACACTTTAGAATAAGCTTTTCTGTGTCTATGGACACCTTGCCTGAGTTTTAAATAAACTAATAAACCACATTACAAACCTACGGGTCAATCTAGGGAGAACTGACACATTCATATGTCAAATCTTCTGTACCATGAACACAATATATCTCTTCTTTTATTTTTTAAAATTTTTTTAGTTATTGATGGACCTTTATTTTATTTATTTATTTATTTATATGTGGTGCTGAGAAGTGAACCCAGTGCCTCACACGTGTGAGGCAAGCCCTCTACCACTGAGTCACAACCCTAGCTCTACAATATATCTATTAATTTATCAGATGTTTGATTATTTTTATCAGTACTTGTCATTTGGGGCATAATATTTTCTCAACTGAACATTTAAGTATAGATAATCCTCTCCCACTGTGAATTGAAATGTTGTAAGGTGATAAGGGAAGGTAATTTTCCTAATCTACCAAACATTGCATTTTAGGAACACAGTATACTGAAGAGAGCCAACTGTGCCGACCCTGTGACCACAGAGGCCTGGGAGCTGCGACTTGATCTCACTGTGGGAAGGTAGAGAGAGCACACATCACTAGCCGGGGAAGTGACTGAAATTGTATGCGTTTGGTTTTCACATGTGGCACAGTGAAAATACCTAAAGCTGAACCACAGCAAGTTGGGGACTGTCCATGTCAAAGAGAATACTCTTTGGCATAACTGTAAATGGTATTGCGTTTTAAATTTCACTCTCTGCATGTTCACTATTATTTTATAGAAATGTGATTGATTTTTGTGTGTTGATTGTGACTTGTTGGAATCATTTGTTCTAGGAATTTAAAAAATATTTTTAGTATATTCCTTGTGATTTTCTAGACAATCACGTCATCTTCAAATAGAGAACTTTTCTTCTTCCTTTACAATCTGTACATCACTTATTCCTTTCTCTTATCTTTTGCAGTATTAGAACTTCAATATGCAGTCTTAAGCCTGGTATGGTGGTGCACACCTGTAATCCCGGGTACTCGAGAGGCTGAGACAGGAACATTTCAAATTTAAGACCAGCCTGGGCAACTTAGTAAGACCCTGTCTCAAAAAATAAAAAGGATTGAGGTTGCAGCTCAGTGTAGAGCAGCCCTGGGTTCAATCCCCAGTACCACACATACAAAAATAAATCAATATTAATAAATTGTTCCTGCTCCCTGGGAAAACATTCTTCCTTTTCCCATTAAACATGCAGTTGCCTTTTATTTAAAAAAAATATGATCTTTGCCAGGCTGACATTGTTTCCTTCTATTTCTAACCTGCTGAGAATTTTTATCATGGATGGATGTCAAATGCTTTGTCTGCATCTGTTGATACTATCCTTTTATTCTTTAGCATGATGATACAATGGATTGCATTGATTAACGCTGCATTCATTCCAGGAATAAATTTCATTTGGACATTGTATAAATTTCACTTATATATCATTGGATTTGGTTTGTAACATTTTGTTGAGGACTTTGCATGTAAGTTCCTGAGTAACGTTAGTCTATAGTTTTGTTCTACTTTTCAACTTTCTTTGTCTGGTTTGGCATCAGGATTAACACTAGCTTCACAAATGAATTGGAATCCTTCCTGTTCTGGTTTTTTTTTTTTTTTGGATTAGGTTGTATAACTTAACTTATCTTTAGATATTGGATAAGATCCTCCCATGAAGTCATTTGGACTTGGGGTTTTCTTTTTAGGAACTTTCACTTATAAATTCAATTTCTTTAATAATTACAGGAATATTCAGGTTGTCAGTTTCATTTGAGTTAGGCTTTGGTAGTTTGTGGTTGTCAAGAAACTGGTTTTTTGAAAACAAATTTGCTTCCAATATTCCCTTATCACCTTCTGAGACAAGAGCTGTGGGACAGTGGGAGGAGCTGCACAGGGAAACACCAGGCAGAGAGGAGGCACAGTTAGGAACTTGAACCTCACTTAGGTAAGAGGGTCCTCTTTTAAGATTGAGAAAAGGGTAGAGATTTGTGAGACAACAGAAATGTTTGGAGTGGCTGACGAGACCAGGTCCCTCTCAGGTTGATGACCTTAATGTCACAGGAACTCAATCATTCCCACTTTACGACTTTCCCCAGTGCCTGGGCTGCAAGACGGGGAGGTGGCATGGGCATCACCCAGGACTAGAAACCAGCAACCAGGGAGGAGAAGACAAAAGAACACTGAGTCCAAAGGGGGCAGCCATTGGGGCTGAGTGCCAAGGCGAGGGGGTCCATGCAGTTCTTCACCTGCTGTCTATCCCCAGGCCTGACTTGGTGTCCAGCACCATCAGGCATACACAGTTGGGGCCCTTGGAGCTCAGCATGGTGCAGGGGAGAGACAAATAACACAACTGCAGCCCCACTGTGTGACAGGTACAGGGTGGGAGGTGTGGGGGGTAGGGCTGGACAGCTGAGCACAGGAGTAGGGCAGTGGGGACCAAGCATATGTCTGGGGTGCCCAGAAGTAGGGAGCTTAGGCCAGAGAGGACACAGCCAGGACAGAAACCACTGGGTATGGAAGGAGAGAGTTGCAGAGGGTCCAGAGCAAGGCCAAGGAGGAAGGTGAAGGTCGGGACAGGAGACGAAGCCCCTGAAGATGGCAGATGGCTGGACTTTGGTTGGAGCTTATGAGCTGCACTTGGCTCCTGATGGTTCTGTACTCCACAGAATCATATCCATCATGTCCATCCAGGACCCCTCTTTTGGGCTTGGCAAATATTCCATTATTCCTTGGTTTTGCTGCTTTGCCCGATGTTCCAAACAAACACATTTCTACAACTATTCACACTTAAGTCCATCTTAGTGCACAATAATTTTCTCACTCCCTACCACCTTCTCATAAAATATTTCCTGAATTTTATTATTCAAATGAAAGTCCTGTAGCGCTGGTATTTTTGGAAAATGCACAGGAAAGTATGAACTCTGCACTATTCACTCATTTTTTTGAGAAAACTTCCGTGAGCCCCTTGGCTTAGTAGAGCACATCAGGGAACTGAACTGGTACTCAGTGGATAACATGTGCAGACAGAGAGCAGCAGAGCTGGGGAAGGTCAGGATGGTACCAGGGAAGCCCCCAGTACATGCCTAAGGGCAGGCTTAGATAAGGCTAGGGAGAGCTTCCAGAGCCCAGGGGAAGGAAAGGCCCCAGTGAGACAGGTGGCTGGTATACTGGGGCCCAGCCAGGGAGGACCAGAAAGTAGGTGGCCCTGGGGCCAGAAAGCAGCCAGTATACCTGTCCTGGACAATGGGAGATGGCCTTGCCTCTGTGGAGCTCATATGCCTCCAGGAGGAAGCACAGGGCCCTGTGTGGGGAGAGCCTTACTGGAACTGACCTCTAATGATCCTGAGGTAAGAAAATAACAGGAGATAAGGTAGGAGAGGTGGGAGGAGGGCCACAGTGGGGCAGCCTGAAGGAGAGGACCAAGGTGAGAAAAGGGGGTACCTGAAGCTGCTCAGAGAAGGAACAGTGATGGCAGGCACAGCAAGCTTCCAACAGCTAGCCCACTCTGCCCTCCTCTTCCTCATAGCAAAATCCTAACTTTGTGAAGATAGTGATGAATCTGGGCCAATAAAACCTGAGGCCAACTGTCTCCAGTACTTTATGAGGCAGACCAATTCAGGCATGGACAGCCAATGGAGCCCATCACTCCTGCCCACCTCACCCAGCCTTGACACTTGCTCTCCTTGGCCACCCCCACCCCCAGCCCTGGGCTCCCCTTTCTTCCTGTGTGTATTTCCAACATTCCTATCACATTCTTCTCAGTGGTGAAGATCCATCAGTTCTTTCAGAATTAGGAAGCTCTTGGCACCCTGGCTATCTACATCTTTTCAAAATGATTAACTACTAGAGAAAAACTGAATTTCTTTCTTATGAAAATAGCCTTGGAATAACTTCATACTTTTAAACTCATGTTAGCATTCCTACAGATCTGATGATATTGTGGCTCAATATCTTACCACTGTGAAGCCAGGGTAGAAAACACATCATCTCTTTCAGATTCCTGGAATAACTTCAAAAGTTCTGGATCTCCAGATAAGTGCGCAAGAATGCGCAATTCAATCTGTGAAAAGTCTGTTAGACAGAGCTCTGTGTCAAATGGGAATTCACCAATGATGGCCTGCTGTTGCTCACCCAGCCACCCTCAGATTGCTTTCCCTATCCAGGGTTGAACTTAACGTCCCCACTTCCAAGGGCTAGACTCCTCTGGTCATATGATCACCCCAGTGTCACCTCTGTGTCAGCTGTCTGAAGACACCCTTTGCCTTCTGGGAGGCCAGCAAGGCCTCCCTCCAGGACAGGAGTGTTTATTTATTACTTCATTCAGTGCACACATCACAGTTAGTAAGGGCCTTCTATGCAGGCTGTGCTCTTGGGTTGCATTAATGAGCAAAATAGCCAAGTTCCCTACCCTATGGAGCTCACATTCTCAAGGGGGACAGTTTGAGTTACTTGGTATGTCAGAAGGGGAGAAATGAAATGGAAAACACAGACCAAGGTAAAACGATTCGGTCTGGGCATGAGTAGTGTGTGTGTGCAGGCAAGTGCTAATGTGAACAGTCAGTTCCCCAATTTGTAGACACTTGTAGACCTAGACCTCACCAAGAAAGGGATGCTGAGTGATATGTGAGGAGGCAAAGTGGGAGCCCAGAGGCATCTGGGAAGTAGAGGAATGACATATGACCAGCAGCCAATGTGGCTGCCTGGAGTGAGCAAGGGGTGGGAGCTGAGACGAGGACTGAGGAAGGCAGCCGATTGAGTAGGCCACGCAGGGTGTGTGCCATCTAGATATGGCAAAGTGCAGGGACCCTAGAAACCAAAGACCATATTTGCCTTAGGATTTAATTGAAGAAATTAATTCTGTAAGTACCTTTGAATTATTCAATTTGTAAATATTTGAACTGCATGAAAACACAATGAGTGAGCTACAGTGGTACAGATTATCCTCCATTGTTGCTAGCACATACCTGCTGCTAGGAAGATGTGGCCCCTGGAGGAAACAAGCAGGGTTCTTGGGGAGATGGTGAAAGTTTCATCTTCTTTACCTAAATTGTCATTGCAAGAGCACATAGTGAGTTTGGTTGTGAGTGCACTTGAAGATATTCCTCAGTGTAGAGTTATTTTAATACCACCCAAAGTTAAGAGTTTAGATTCTTAATTCTTACAACTATTTTTATTAATGTAATTTAAAAGAACATTATTACATAAAGCTAGTGAGATTTTCTTGTTGAAATTTCCTGTTTTTTTTTTTTTCTAGAGGTTTTGACAAAGGGAAAAGCCAAATATTGATGCCTGAACATTCTAGTAAAAGTGCTCGAGACTCTGAATTTCACTGTTAGATCTATGCAGGGCCATGCAGTTGTGATTTTCCCACTGGAGAAATCTGAAAATGGCATAGGAGGCAGAGTGGCTGGTGGTCACCTTCCATGGACTCTGTTTGAGTGTAAACATTTATGTTTAGAAAGGGCCATTTGTGGTGCTTCATTGTGTGCCCACAGCCCAGGGGGAAGCAATGGCCCTGAAACAAAAGGTTGGGAATGGGCAACACAGCACCAATTTGTCCAATTGGAGCTTCCCTTTCTCAGAAATGTGAACATCAGCATTACAGTAGAATAACTCAAGAGAAAAAAAATTGTGTGTGCTTTTATAAATATTTCCAGTAATTTTCAGACTTTAATAAAAGCCAGTGCTACTGTATGTAAGTTCTTTTTTTCTTTATCAGGAAGTTGGTGGGAGAGAGATAGTAGGAGGGGAGTTATAATTACTATCTATTTTAACTTGTAAGCTGCTAAAAGGGAGGTCCCATATCACATCAGCTACTCTTTATTTTTTCAATGTATATTTAAATCCTGGTCATGCAAACAAAGGAGAACTTCAGCAAAGTGGAGCAGTTAGTTATAGAAAAACAATTATAAAACACTTCTAAGTTTTAAATATGTTACCCAAGATTTTAGTAAGGCAGAAAGAAATATTACCTTTAAAATTCAGAGGCTTAGCAATTTGAATTGAGTGCTTGGAAATACCCTGGATATTCTGTTAATAATAACAGGAAAATAGCTTTAGCTAAAATATATATTCTTAAATTAATATGTACCATTTAAGGGTATTTAAAATGCAATAATATTTTATTAAACATGAACAAAATAAGCAATCCAATGTTTCCTGCCTATTAATATTTACTACATTAATATGAAACACAGTTTTGGGGGAGATGCTACTAAGTACAGTCAGTAAATCTGAGAATAGCTCTTACTGGCTGTGTGAACCTTATTGTAATTACATGCAATAACTTCCACAACAACCCAAATCATGAAATCTATATATTGTACTTTTATTTAAAAGCATACTTGAAGATGAAAATTCTGGCCTCTGTCCCTAGTTTCCCCTCCCCTGCTGCCCTACGCACTCATTGGCTACTTCTATCTCAGCCCCTCTGTGGCTGGCAGTAGGTGAAGCTGCATCCCCTGCGAACCCCAGAGGGCCATTTGTTGAGCACCACTGCTCTGCACCTTTACACCTGGGGTAAAGGGCAGTAGCTTCTAGCCTGTTCCCACTATTCTAATCATGAGAATTTCTGTTACAATCCTTCTGATCCTTGGCAGGACAGTAAATGACACCCACTTCGTCTAGACATGAAATCCTTTTGGTGCAACTGATTATATCTGATGAATTCTTCCATAGTGGGAACTGCTGAGCATCAAAGCCCTGCTGTCTTATAGGGTTGCATTTTAATGTCCAAATGCTTCTTAGTAAGGGTGCAGTTAAAAGTGGTCTCAAGGAAATTTAGAAAATATGTTGGATCTTTAGCAATTTGGGAAATGCAAATCAAAATTTCACTGAGATTTCATCTCACTTCAGTTAAAATAGTAATCATTAAGAATACAAATAATAATAGATGCTGGTGAGGATTTGGGAGAAAAAGAAAACTTTTACACTATTGGTGAGATTGTAAATTAAACCATTATGAAAATAAGTATAGGGGTGCTTCAAAAGACTAGGAATGGAACCACCATACAACCCAGTTAGCCCATTCTTTATGGTATTTATCCGGAGAACCGAAATTAGCATAGTGATACATGCATACCATGTTTATAGCAGCACAATTCACAATAGTCAAGTTATGGAACCAGCCAATGTATTTATCCACAGATCAATGAATTAAGAAAATCTAAAAATGCAGTTTTTATTTTAAAAACATAAAAATGCAGGGTTTTTTTTTTTACAGTTTTTACTTGGCCATGAAGAAGAATGAAATTATGCCATTTGCAGGAAAATGGATTGAACTTAAGAGCATTATACTATATTAAGTGAAAGTGGAGCCAGAGTCAGAGAGTCAAGGGAAATATGTTTTCTCTCATGTGGGAAAGCTAAAGAGAAAAAGCAAAAAATGGGGGCAGGGAGCTCATGAAATTAGAAGGGAGACCAGTAGAACAGAGGGAGGGAATCCTGGGAGAGGAGCAGGGGAGGAAAAGGGAAGGTACTGAGGGACAAAATTGATAGTGATTTTTAGTTTTTTTTTTAATGTTGTATGTCACAGTGAATCCCATTATTATGTATAATGATAATGTCCCAATTAAAAATATGTTGAACAGAATGAAAAAGAAAATACAAAATGTCAAAATTCATGGAATGTAATTGAAGCAGTACTTAGAGGGAAATTTCTAGCAATATATGTGTTGAAAAAGAATAAAGATCTCAAATAAAGATTCTACCTCTAGAAACTATGAAAAAAGAGTAAATTAATTCCAATATAAGTAAAAGAAAAATAATAAAAGCTTAGATTAAATTAAAAATAGATATCAATAGAGAAAAATCAGTGAAACCCAGAACTGGTAACAAAACAATAAAGCTTATAAAACTCTAGTCAAACTGTTCAAGGAAAATATAAGATTAAAAAAATGACCAATTTCATGAATGAAAGGGAGTTATCACTACAGATTCTACAGAGATTAAGGACACTAAAAAAATATCATGAGCCATGACATGCTTATACATTGGGAAACTCAGAGGAAGATGGATGATTCCTTATGTGAATGACCAAAATTAATTCAAAATTCAAAATCTGAATGAACTGCATATATTACAGATATTGAATTAATAGTTAAAAAGCCTTCCTAAAAAGAAAATTCCAGGCCCAGATGAAAGATAAGTCTTAATTCTTATAATTTTATGTTGCTTCAATACCCATTTTGAATTTGTTTACCTTTCTCATATCAGAAGCAGAGCTTGGTCAACCTCGACAGTTTCCAGTTCTCTGCCTYCTTTCAGTTGTTCAAGATGCTTGACCCAGGCATCTATCTTATACAACCATTTCATGGGAGCTGCTTCCCTAGGAGGCAGCTAGATGTTTAACTCACCCCAGTGACCCTTCCCTCTTACAGACTGTGAAGATAGGCCACAGTGACCACCTCTGCTCCTAGCATGACTCCATAGGGCTTGTGCCTTCTTGCTCCAGACTCACCAATAAGAGATCTTTCCTTGGGGCATCTGCTTGGGTAATGCCCTAAACCCTAACAAAGGTTTCGACCCACAAGTCTCTTTCAGTCTGTCTCTCCACTACTGCTGGTTGAACATTCCAAAAGGCTCCCTGCTTCCCACTGGTCCTGGGAGTTTGCTGCCCTGTCTCTGGGGTCTGTAAGCAATACACTGCTGCTATTCATGTGTGTTTTGCACGTTGCCTTTTCTGTGTCTCACCTAACTAACATGACTGAACCTTCTTTCCAGGTAAGCACTCTCCTAGAGAGGGCTATTTTGGTAGGAATAAACTGGACACAGGTCAGACAAAGACCACAAGGATGTCTACTAGTATAAACAAGTTTCCTGAGAAAGGACACCTGGTCAAGGATCACTTAGCATTAGGCTACCTGCTAATGGTGAAAGGCACATCATAACATCCATGGCTATGTCTTCTGGAACCATCCCACACATCCTAAATAATGAAAAGATACCCCGCATATGTGGATTGGGATACTCAGTATTAATATGCCAACCTCACAAATTGATCTATAACTCAACACAGTCCCAATTAAAATCCCAGCAGGGTTTTTCATAACTTTTTAAAAAAAATCTATTTACTTATTTATTTTTATGTGGTTCCTAACTATTAGCAAGCTGATTCTATAATTTATGGGTCTTAACTTTTGAGAAAATCTTCGTGACCTTATACTAGAAGAGTTTTTAAATATGTAACAAAAGCACAATCCATAAAATAAAACAATGGAAAACTGGGCTTTATCAAACTTTTTTAAAAACTATTTTTCAATGTAGATGGACACAATACCTTTATTATATTTATTTATTTTTATGTGGTGCTAAGGATCGAACTCAGTGCTTCAGACAAGCACTCTACCACTGAGCCACAACCCCAGCTCTTAAAAACCCTGTTTATGGAAAACACTTTTAAGGTAATGAAAAGCAAACTTTATATTGAGAAACTGGTTTTTATTTTATTTTATTTTTTTGTGAATCATATCTTATTCAAAATATATGAACAACTAAAAATGCCCTGAGCAATGAGAGGTACTTCTATTATGGTGGAGTGAGGAACATGTTTATTCTAAAAAGTCAGTATTTACTCTGATTACCAATGCTGGACATCAGAAAAAAAGAAAAACACCAACCAACATCACTCATAAACAATGACAGAACAAACCTCAATCAAATAGTAGCAAACTGAGTTCAGCAACATAGAGAAAGAATTACATACCATGACCAAGTAGGAGTTATCTTGGGAATGCAAGATTGGCTTAAAATCCAGAAATAGTTAATGTAATAAGTCATATTCACAAAATAAAAGATAAAAAGATAAAAGATAAATTATCTCAATAGAACAGAAGGAACAACAACAAAATCCAACATTCAGTCACATGAAAATATCTCTAGGAAAAGAAAGGAATTTTTTTGACCTAACAGCACCTGTGAGATTTACTCCCTATGAGTAACTTTGGCAGCTGACGCTGCTGTGCAAGGCAGGCCTGTCTCCCGTCTGTTAGCATGCCACACCAGCATCAAGCCAGACTGTGGCTGACAGGGAGGCTCTGGGAAGCGCTGTGCTGCAAGGATCACTAGCGGACAGGAGCCCAACTCCTGATGCCTTTCCCGGAGCACACGACACGTTTGCCTTCATGAGAGCTGCTCCACGGTGAAAGAGGAATATATGTTTCTGGTTTGTCCAGAGAAAGTAGTAAAGTTTAAATTTATTGTTCTCAAATGAGTTATGAAGGAAGACATTTAATAATTAAATGTCAACTTCTATGTTTTTATAATATAACAAATAAACGAAACCTCACAAAATATCTGATTTATGTAGTGCACTTTGCTATATATGATGTGTACTTTGAACATCTTAAGAGAAAATATATTTTATTCTTTGGCCACATGGCAAAAATGTCATCCTGAGAAAGTTTTATTTTTACCTTCCACAATGGCTGACAGAAATCAACCCAATCTGTAGGCACCACAAGCCTCAAAAAGCACTTCTCTGTTATCCTCAATATCCATTCTGTTCCTGGCGACTTGCCGAGGTGCAAATGGCAGCTCTGGTATCCACTACAACAGAACACTTCGGCCAGTGACAGTATCTTACTGTTGGCTGACAGGGTGTGGACATGCCATGAAAACCAGGCAAATGCCATGCACCCCAACTCAAGACTAGAGCCACACAAAATCACTGAAGCAGAGAAAGTGTGTTCAGTCCGTGTCCCTCTACGAAGTGCCTCCAACATGTCTAGAGACCAGAGCTATTAAAATTAAATAATCCGCTCTTAAAAATAGAACCAGATTTTGTTGTGTGTGTCAAGAATACTACCAAAATTGTCTATCATGCTCAGAATTTTTTCAACAAAAATGTATTTTTATTTTTAACAGTTTTAGAGAATTGTTGTGAAGTCAGTTCAGAGTTCTGACTACCCCAAAGAGTTCCCTCATCCTTGCCACGTTACAGTAAACTAAACTTGGCACTTTTTCCAGATCCCATCATTTTTACAGGATGCACTTTTCTGCTTAGGACCCATCCAGGACACCACATGACATTT